TAATCCCAAAACATATACATATATAAATTCCATAAACCATGTAACGTGTACGAGTTTCTATGTACCATATATGTGTATATATTTGCAATTTCTTCTAATTTTCTAAAATTTGTTGAGCTGCTAGACTAATGTCCAGACGTTATACGATCGTAGCGATCCAGCCCTGTGTTTCGTACATGTGCGCGCTCGAGGTAAAGAACGATATATAGAAAGAAGAAATAACTCCGCGCGATAATTCAGGGGTCTCAACCCTCTCTCAACCCTCCGCCTAGCGCCTCGGTGCTTCCTGTCCTCGTGAGAGTAATGCCGGCGGGTCCGGGGTTCGGCCGAAAAAAGCGTCCTGTTTTCTCCCTCGCCTTTCGCTCCTTTCTTTTTCTCCTCGCTCGTTCGTGCTATCCTATTAAAGTGCGATCTTGTGAATCTCGACGCGCGCGATTCTCGGCCGGTCGCGACTACCGTGCGCCGTCGTCATGAATGAGGATGAAAGGCTGTTTTATACGGTCATAAGGAGGGTGGCGATACGGATAAACGACGCGGCGGTAACGAATGATGTCTTCGTGATATTTCAACCTTGTCTTTTCCCTCTCCCTTCTTTTCCGCCCGGCTTCTCTTTTCTTTCCCGTCCCTTTTGGTTTTCCTCTTTTTACACCCTTCCCTTTTTCGCGGCACTTCCGGGGTCAAGATTCACGAGAGACGAGGAAAGAGCAGGAGAACCGGAGACGGGAAGGCGAGAAAAGAAAAGCGACAAAGGGAGGAAAGGCAGCGCAGCAGAACACGCGGGGAGGAAAAGATAAATCGCGAGCGTGGATATGTACTATGTGTGCGCCATATAAAGAGCGTTCTGACCGGTCCATGACGCTCCAGGTCGACGACTTCGCGTTTAAGCAAATCGCGCATCGGAGATTCATGAATGCGCGTCGCCAAGTGCGCCTTTTGATAGCAAAGACGGAATGTAAGATTTTTATTCCGTTCCCCGGAATCTGAAATTTGTATGAAAACGAAAGGTTCGTGTTTCTCCACCTCCGCGTTTTCCTTTTCACGTTTTCGTCTCGCGAGATAATGTGCGAGTTTTACTCCAAGACGCAGATATAAGAAGATATTACCTTCTTTAACTTTTATATTGTTTTACCTCCGAATCTTTGCGCAATCGATGCCAGTCTCTAAACAACTCGGAACTTTCGTATCTATGTACAGTTACTCGGAAATTCGCGCACAACATAAATCCGAACAGAACTATCCGCTCTAATCTAAAGCCTTACACATAGCGAACTTCAGGATCTCTTCGCGTACAAGATATCCGACGAAAGTTGGACTGCATCTAAGAATAGTCACGCGCCAATTAATCTCAAAGTACATTTTAGACGTTTGCACTTCATTAAACGCGCAATCGCTCGATTAATGAGATATACGAGATACCGAGTGCCGTGAATTACGGTTAAGTTTCATAAGGAGTAATTGAGCTGTTAATCCCTGAAATTGGTGTAAGTCAAGTTTAACAGAGCAAAATGTTGAAAATTCGTGATATACTTAGTTTAATCAAATTTTTTAAATTTCATGCAATTAAAAAATTCATTGCTCAATTTAATACTGCGTATGTTTATTCCTAAAAATAGAACAGAAATTTAACTATATTTGAAACAACTGTTTTAAAGCAATTAATTTGATTAAATAATTTTTTATTTCTTGATTAGAATACAAAATAATATATATATATATATATATATATATATATATATATATATATATATACTCCTAAAAATAGTTAAAGGATAAAAAATTGTTCAAACAATAGGCAAATTTCAAATAACTGTAACTTTGTTTCAAAGAATGAGAATTTAAAATATAAAAAAGAGTTTTAAAGATTCTTTAACATATTGTACAAATCGATTATTTTGAACATATGGATTATTACAAAAAAATTCTCACAGCAAGTCTGTGATTTTGTGCCAAGTTTGAGGTACTAAGAGGCACAAAAATTTCAGTTGATAAAATCTTTTTAGTTACTTTACGTAATTTTTTTCAAAGTTTAAACTAAAAGAAGAAAAATCGCTAATTTTTTCGTTAGTTTCACCTATTTGTAAAAAGTTCACAAATTGAAAAAAATTCAATCAATATATCATATTATAGAGCAAAGATTCAGCTTTAAGAATCCATTCTTAAAATTGCAATATGATGATTTTTAACGGAATTATGAACAATCAAAGTGAAAATGACCTTTTCTCTTCAATTTGCGATAACTTGATAAAGAAAGATCGAAATTTAAATTTAAAAAAACGATTTTGCAGGAAAAACTTCAGGCTTTAACGTGAAAATATTAAAAAATGTTTCAAATCTTCTTGTGCATGCGACACATCTACAAAGTGAGAAGAAAATTTTTTATTTTGTCATGTTCGTCGTTTTCTGTACATAAAAAATATCAGAATTGAAGAAAATAAAAAAAGCTGTGATCCTTCAAAAGTAGAGATTTAAAGTTTTAAAACCCTTTTTTAAAATTTAAATTCTCATTTTTAAAACAAAGTTACAGCTATTTCAAATTTGCTTATTTATTGAACAATTTTTTGATCTCTTAATTATTTTTAAGAGTGTATATTATATACAATATATACAATATTATATACAATATATATATGTATGTATATGTTGCAGATTTATATTACGTAATATATATATATATAATATATATTATATATTTTTATTTTTTTATTAAATATTATATGTTAAAATTTCGCCAGGTTATAATGCACGGTTTTAACATTACTGCTCGATATAATGCATTCGATTGATCGAGAAATGAAATGCTTGAAAAATGGAACTCGGTAACGGTTTGATCCGCACTATTGTGTGTTGAAATATTTGCTCATATCTAACTACAATGGCACTACACAGTAGCACAAAGCAGAAATTCAATATACGTGTATTTTATCATACTTTTTAAATAGTAGTACGTACATTATCAACCAAACTAATTATCTCTTCTCGTTTATAATGTAACGTAAATAAATCTTTTAAAAGTCTAAAAATAAATTAATATTTATTACACATGTGACATATAAATTTTTTTCTTGTTGCAAAAATATTTTCAATATGATTTCAGTGTTAAGCTAGACGAAAGAGCTAATAATATGGAATATATTATGCGATCTGATTGGCTTCGTGTTTCAATGTTTCCGAAATATGGCTTTAAACGAGCGATCAGTATATCACCGTCATTAGAGTTCACGGTGCCTGCAGGCAACGCAATCCGCATTACATTGCGAGTATCCTGAGAATCAATTTTAGAAACGTAGGCATACGTTTTCGTGGGTATACCTCATAGAATTCGATCTATGGTATGACAATGGTTATTAAAAGTAAATGTAATTGTTTGTACGCAATTAAAATAATAAGCACGACATGCATACATATTTGTAATTTAAAAAATGAAAATTGGTTTATATTTTATAAAAAAAATAGCTTCTATAACTAAATTTTAACTGTGATAGCTAATATTTTTTATGTATAGAATTCTCCGTTGAATTATAGCTAAAAAATATTAGTTATCACAGCTAAAATTTAGGTATGATGATTAACCCTCAGTTACCATCATTCATTTTTGGCCAACCTATTTTACCACTCATGGGTTAGAGTAACCCAGAGTTTTCTTTTGTTTATATTTCTGGATCTAATGAAGCTATTTTGAAGTATTTTTTTTCAATCGATACGCCAGACAGTAAAAAAAGAGAATATATCGGTACAAATATCACCAGATTTCTACGACTTAAGATATTTAAGAAAAAATGAAAAGCGATGTTCTAAAATTTCGAAAAAATCATTTTTGATATGGGTTAACGTAACCCAGAGAAGTAACTGAGGGTTAAATTTTAGGTTGTAATATAAGAATAGCCAAAATTCAACTATAGTGGCTGATTTCTTCGTTCCGTATTTCCTCTTTACTAAAAATTATTTATTTCAATCATTTATTATTAACTTATTGTGTATATATGTGCGAAATGCATTGCACAGTGTATTAAATATACATGCTATTTTATCGTTTGATAAAAATAGTATATTGTGTATCAAGTGCGGAAAGTTGACAATTGTGACAATTGTGACAAAAGTGAACAATTGTCAATCCGCACGTGATACACATACTATTTTGTATTACAAGTGCAGGCAAAGTGGCTTTGTGTTCGTGGCCGTGTTCAAAGTCATTGTCTACGGCTGAAGCCGTGTGCAATGACTTTGAACGCGGCTCAGCCGTAGGCAATGGCTTTGAATGCGGCTTATTCACTCACCGCGTCGCCGCTAGGTGGCGGTGTAGGAAATCGGCCGCTTTCCGCACAGAAAACACGTACACAAAGTGCCACTTTGCCTGCACGTGTAATACAAAAGTATTCTTATGTATGATTTATAAATTGGAAAACAAGATAAATGAGCAAAATAACAATCAGTTCAATAAAAATGAATAATACGATTATGAGAAACGCGGCGTGTGTCTAATTGTATTTCAATTAATAAGAATAGACTCAACTAAGCTAACAATTCTCGAAAGTTGACAAATCTGATCATTGTATGCGTACAGGAAACAGTCACGGAATCCGCGTGGGATATGCGAGAGCGTGGCACGCGCGTGCCGACAATGGATCCTAATGCCGGGCGAATGACGACGCGTAACAAACCGTATTCAACAAAAACTTTCGGCCGGTCGACAAATTGAATCCGAAGGGCTCGGAACAGCCGCCCTTCCGCGGGAAAGAGGTGCAGAGTAAGATCGTGCGTGTTCGCGGGAACGTCCGGAAGGAGGGACGAGGTAAGAGAGATCGCAGCACTGGGGGAGAGCGAGATGACACGGGGCACGAGAAACGGCGAAGGGTAGAGGCAAAGGAGTGACGCGCGAGACTGCGCTGAAGCGAATGGAGGAGAAGGAGGGAGACCGCGAGAGATATCGCGGCGTGGGTGGTGGGGGGATGAAGATAGAAGGGCGGTCGACGCAGGCGCGACTCACGACAGAACGGCTTCGCGCGGCGACGCTCAGTCTCGTCCGTCGCAATCCAGTGCAGATATACGTGCAATTACCCTGTCAACAGTGCTTAAAATCTCCGTGCTCGTGCCCGCGTACGCTGGCACGCAGTGATCGATAACACTCGCGAACAGACCGCCGTCGATCGCGACACATTTTCCGCGATTGCCGGAAGAAGAGATAAAAAAAAAAGAAAAGAAAAATAACGGAAAAAGCGACAGCGGGAAAGTTTCGGAACGCGCGGTGATCAATCTGGTGCACGGGATGATTTGAATTCGATCGGTCTCGTTGTCGCGAAAGAGGGTTGAAGTCGAAGGGAACTGCGGAGCGGCGCGAAGTTTGACAGTGTAAAGTTTGACAGTTTGGACAGTGAATCCGAATGCGCGCCATTTCCGACGACGCGCAGAAAGTGATACGAAGTGAGGCTGAGAAGACCGCGTTTTGATGTTGTTCGATTCTACGTACGACGATCGCGTTCGTTTGAAGTAGACAGAAAACGAGAGAGAGAGAAGGAGTGACACAGCGAGATAGATGTGGTGCCGTGTAATTCCGCGTACGTTCTTTCACGCGTTTCGTTAACTTGATGCGTTGCGTCGCGAGTGAGTGCATCAGTGAACTGTGAACCCAAAGTCCGGTGTGATCTCATTCAGGAAAATTGACACTCCGAGGACTCCTTACACGCGATCAAGATGAAGACTCGCCACCTGTGGCTAGAAGCGGCTGTCGTCTTCTTTGCAATAACAAGTAAGTGGTCACTTGATGAGATTCCTTTGGACGTCGAAAAATAACTTCCTTCGCCTTCCTTTCCGCGAAATGAATCTCGGGTATAAGTGTATCTTTGTACGATATATGTGCGATATATACAGCAGTGCGCAATATAAAGTTTACGTTGATATTTCGATTAAATGTGAGAGCGGGAAGATATTATAATTACAATTCTTAGGACAAAGTAATTATTTCGAGAATTTCAGATTACGCTATCAATCAATAAATCTTCAACAAAAATTTTATCTGATACTGCGTATATTTTACACGTACATATGTGTTGTAGCGCCTATTTTGTGCTCCAGAACGAAATGATGAACATTAATTCTTTCTTTTTTCTTTTTAATTGACACGACTGTAATATTGATTATATTGTAACTGCGAAATATCGTTATTTTCTAACACATGATGGAAATTTTATTTATATTGATTTGTTGATTATTGACAATAAATGGATCAATAAATGGATTTTATTAGTCACTACAGATAGGACGTATAGCAGATAAAAAATGATATACGCGTATATTAGAATATCTCTAGATAAATTTTTCTATATTCATTAATAAAATTAACGATCATCTTTAAAAAATATATATAAATCTCATTTGTTTAAAAGAAATCGATAATATCGTAAAAATATTTTCTTCCTATGAAATACAATAATTCCCATTGTCTCTCATAATGAGAACAAATATTTTTAATTACAATATATAGAACATATTTCATATCTTCTAATTAACACGACTGTTATTGATGTTTTCGATACATTTTGTTATTTCATAACACACGACAAGAATTTTATTCATTTTGATGTTGACTGACATCAAATAGATTTTATATTAATCAGCCCAGAGATAGAGAGCACACAGTGAATATAAAATGATATATATTAGAATGTCTTCAGATTAGAATTCTCTAAATTTATTAATAAAATTGTCGACCGTTTAAAAAAAAAAATATTATCATGAGACGTACTTGTGAAAAAAATTTATCTGAAAATTCGTTAAAAAAAATATCGTTAATATCGTAAAAATACCTTCGTCGTGAATAATAGCTTCCATTGTCTCTCACAATGTGAGTGCGAGAGCATAATAAATATTTTCCATCTCCTTTTTCGGACGGCAACTCGCCAAGACGCCGCTACGCTTCTTCGCGCTTCCAGGCTAGGGGACTTGGCTGGTGAGAGGAAAAACGGGGTGATGACTGTGTAAAATGCGGAAAAGTCTTTTCTCGTAAAGTAGCTCTCCCGCTGGTTACATCGTCCCGTTTCAGCGCCCATCGCGCTGCAAGACGCCGCGGACAAAAGGGAGATAACATTCGTGGATAGCCCGCGCAGAATGCGCGTTTCTCGCCGCTTTTACGACGGCTTTCGTATAGTTAACGCGAATGGTAGCGGGACCAGTAGTGAACAAGTTACGATATACAGACTCTACATTACAGACCTTTACCTATGTCACGCGAGCTTCATCGTTAAATAATAGAGTTAGTAAAGTGGCATTAAATTTGTAGGATCTTTTTATGCTTAAATAAATTGTACTTTAATTCTGACAGCATCAATTGCGCGAAGTAATCGAGTTGTGTTCAAATATAGCTACAGCTGTTTTTCTTCAAACATATTTTCATGTTTTTCTCTTCGGAAAAAGCAAGTCAATTATGTCAAAACTTACGAAATAATTAATCTTTTTATGTTAAAACACATTTTTTTTTTTTTATTTTTTTTCGAGGAGCAAAATATAAATTTATTACGGTTGCGATGTATTTTTGTACATACTTTTACATAACAATCGTTGCACGTAATTGGCATGAAATAACGATGACACAAATTGGTTGCATAAAAAAGTGTTCAGATTGCGATTGCTTTTTAAAGTTTTCTATTGATGCGGAACGTATGATTCTAGACGCATATCTTTTTTTTTTTTTTATAGCGAAAGATATTAATGTTGTTTCACTTTTTGTTCCTGTAATATTGTGTTTGCATTTTTCGTGTAATAATTTTTTTTCTAATTTCACTGCATTATATTTTATCGTATGCCTTTCATTTATGCTCAGAAAATTATCGTTACCTAAATGACGAATACGTGCGCTGATAATTCAGACATTTTCAGATAGTTTTGGCCGCGTTAAAGAAGGGTACAAGTTCTTGTGTCGCAGAGAGGGTATTTAATCGATGGCTCAATTTCGAGCGTTTAATTAAGGGTCTGCATCGCGCTTAATTCGACGTCTCTATCGTTGCGCCGCGGACGATTTCTAGACGCTATCGGTGGCAGCTCGTTTCCCTTTGCGTGGAAATTCAAATGCGGAGAAGGATGGTCTCTGCGCCCTCCACGGCGATCCCTTTTCCCGCGTCACTCGTAGTAGCTTGATTACAGTCGCGAAACTCCATTGTCACTCCCGCGCAAACTCATTTGATTTCTCTTGACTCTTTTTCGACGATTGCTGTGTTTGCCAGGAGGAAAACGAGAACTCAGAAGGGTGAAAGCAGGAAACAGAAGGCTGAATGTTTAAAAGGAGTAAAGAATCGATGAATCTGCTGTCTTTAGAGTAAAAGTCTGGTTTTTAAATAAACATACAGAGAGAAAGTTTCACAGTTTTATTTCTTTTTTGCTAGAGATGTTAATTAGAAAAACAATAAATTTCTTCCCATGCGTGACTTTTGGTTCAGTTAATATAATGATAAAAATAAAAGATTTCATTTTTTTTAAGTAATACATGTGTTTACTTTTTATATTTTTGCTATTATTAGCTATCATGGCCTAATTTAACATTGTAAAGTAACCTAATTTAAAATTATAGGTTTGCAAGGGGTAAAAAGTGTACAAAATAAAGTATATTATTTTCTATTATTGATGAATTTGAGAAATGCATAGAATCTGCATTCTATATCGGAAAAGAGTTTTTTTTATAAATATTTGATGAATATTGCACATATTTTAATTATTTTTATAATATTAATATTAAAATATATATTGTGTAAACGAGGACTATATACATACATTTTTTATCACCGAAAAAAATATAATTTTCTAAACGAAGGAGAATTTTTATGTATATATATATATATATATATCAAAAATAGAAAAAATTCTGATAATATTTAACAAAAACGATATAATATATTATTTACAAAACATTTAATTCCCGTAAAAAATAATAAAATAATAAAATAATAAAATAATAAAATAAAATTTTTATGTATATTTACATAAAATGATTAATCATATTGTTGGCATTTATTTGTTGGGCTCGACTTATTTAGTTATCCGTCGTCCGTCTTGTTATTGCGGGCATGTATTATTATAAGGCATTGTCTCGGTATTTACATTCTTTTGTATTGTATGTCTTCCGTACATGTTCATCCGTTCGTCGCCTGAGATTTTTGTCGAATTCGTGTCCTCGCGTGATTGGCGCGATTTGAAGCGTCGGTTATTTTGACGGCGGTATATAAGACGACCGCCGGTCGAGAGACACGCTCTCATTATTGATTCTTCTCCGAGTAATAAACAGTTCTCAACGCATCAAGAGTATTTTATTTAAATATATCACTCCCCCAACAATATTAATTTTATTTTTGTATAGCCGTTTAATATAAAGGCTCTGCTTTAAGGTCTATTTATACATATCCGTGACATATCAGTGTTGTATCCGGTCAGTTTCGATTTTTTGTCAGTATCAATGAAAACATATTGTACAAAGGGACGATATTTTTTTTTACTGATACTGACGAAAATCATAGAATTGAACCGATACGATAGTGATAAGTCACAGATATGTATAAATAGACCTTTATACTACTCGTTTCACATGAAATTTTTTGTATTTTATTTCATTATATTTGTGACGCATATATTATACATTATATTATACGAACACCATGCCATATTTACAATATGCATGTTAGATAAAATAATTCGTTTAAATTTATAACGGGGAAGTAATAATAATTCTCGGCTTGCGCAATTAGTGAGTTAAAAAACTCACTACCAGCAGGGTGAAAACGAGGAGAATCCGTAAACTATAGAGTCGCGCGCTCAACAAAGGATCGCCAACATTTAATGTGAGAGAATTACGCTTGCACTCGTTTTACGCGAATTTATTTACACGCCTAGCTGTCGCGAACGCATTAACCGCCCGAATCGAGAATTACGTGTATGGAGTTTAATTACAATTTTGATGAGGGCGGTGTTAAGCCAGGAATATCAGGACCAAGTGCTTCGCGTAGACGCGCACATACCATATACGCAGCATGCTGATCTGCCGAGACACGGTTGCGGCATTAGACGGTTCTCCAGTTGACGCTCTTGTGAGACAGGTGGCTTAATTAATTACAGGCTAGAGGAACGAACTCTGACGCGTTTTTATTCCGCTATCGAAACTATTAACTCTGAGCGCCACAATATTAGGGCAATTTAGTGTGTATTTCGGTTCTTGTCTTCCAGAAACTTCACAGAGTTACTTAAGTTTGCTCGCGCATCCAGTTTGTTGCGCCTCACGGTAACTGCCTTTAGTACCGATGTTGTTTAAGCCAGTCAACGCGTCTATTGGAAGCGAAACCGCTGTCATGAGTAGTTATAATTGAGAGACTGCGTTATCGAAATGAGCTGCGAGCGACCAAGAATATTATTCGCGGAGATGATTCAAAGTTTGACGCTGGAAAAGGCAAATTAGACGCGCAAACTTTCACCGCAATTGCAAATATCGCAAAGAATCGCGGGAAAATGTAATTTCTTTTTTAAATTAAATGGTAAAAGGATTCGTATAAAAATATTTCTATAGTAGAACACAGGAAATAATGATTAAAAAACTATTTCTCTTGTACGATTGTATGAAAACCAAAGAGTTTGATAAATATCAAGATTTTTAAATTTTTATTCACTCGCACAAAATACTTATTATTACTTGAATTCTAATAATCCAAATGACATTTTATCTTGCTGCGTGCGCATCACGATGCTACTATATATGTTGGGTAATATTAATTT